TGAAACCAGCATTGGCTAGACTCGCCTTGGCGTCCCCACTTCAGTACACGGGAATTGCATTGGATGGTCGGGGTACCATACTGGCGCTGGCACTCGTCGCGGCTCTAATATGTCCCGCACCAGCAGCGGCACGGGCTTCTCTATCAAGGAGAGTCCGGTACCGCTGTGCCGCCTCGGCGACTCCATTCGTCCTGTACAGCCTAACTCAATGCATCCTGCTTCCCGGCTGCATCGCGTCACACGCTAACCCCGGGCCTAGCTCGGCCGTTACTTCCTCATGCACCACTTGCACTTGCTCTCTTCACATCCCCTTCAATGTCTACATTTTCCACCATGTACAGCACATCCCCTTGGACCACCTTGATAAGCTTCAGCACCCTCACTAGCTCTCTAAACAGCTTGCTCTCCTCATCTCTCATGCCTCACCCCTCTCCTGCCTGTGAGTAGCCTTGATACTCCCAACCAGGGATCACTATATCGATCTTTCCCCTCTGCCGAATCGTCGTCTCATCCACGTGGCAGACGTCACCGCTATAACTATTGATGCTTGCCTTTAGTGCGCCCTTAGTAAAATGGTGCATGTACCGCTTCTGCAGCTACTCTGCATGCCACCACACCATCTTCATCGCCTCATCATATTTTTCAACGAGAATCGACTTGTTGACCAACCCCCCAGCCTCCAACAGTGGCGTTAATCCGGTACTGATTCCGCCGAACAGCTCCAGCACCACCGTCGCTCCCAGCAGACGTTTGGTGTTGGTGCACAGCTCCGTCAGCACTAATTCCGCCCCCTCCTCGTGCGGTGGCTGCTTCCGTGTCATTTCTAGCTGCCACCGATTGAAAACCCCTAGATCCTTTCGCAGCTCCAGCTCACTACACTGATAGGCCTCCCTCGGTTCCCTTCGCACAAATCTCACTGGCAGTTGTCCAATCGGGTCCCCGTACAGTAACTCGACCCCAAAAGGTAAGTCAAAGTCTTCTAACCCGGATATCCCGCAACACACCCTCAGTAGGCACTCCTCCATGGTACCCGGGTTCAGCACAAGTTCCATTGGCCTCCTTGTGCTTGGTATCCATTTAGCTTCACCCCCTTCCACCGTCATCAGCAGGTAGCCTTCCTCCACCAACTGCCCTAGTTGCTTCAGTTGTAGCTTCTCCACCAGCCGCCTCCCTATCAACACATGTGCAGCTCTAGTATCCAAGATTGCTTGTCGTGCCGCCAGCCCTCCCACCATGATTATTCCTGGCTCTATCGTCAGCACCGTCGCCTGACATGTCATGCGCTCTTGAGGATGATAATACACAGCACCTTCCCCTTCTTCTTTCTGGCTCGCCTAATGACGCAGTCCATCCTCTCACCTCTCGTCCTACCGGAATAGCTAGCTCCTGGCTCGTGATCTCGGCCCCAGCTCTTCTCGGTCCCGCGCCGGTCTGGCCATAAGCATGAAATCCGTCTCGCTCGCCTCTTCTTCCTCTTGTGCTAACATTACCAGTCGCCATTCTTCTGCCGCTTCCATCTCTGGCAGCTGCGCCCTCAAGCATGCTCTGGTGAATTGCCTGCCCCCTGTCTCCGCCCCTCCCCAAAATTTTCTACGGCTGGCCTAGCAATTGCGCGAACTTTTTTATTTTTAATTTTAATTAAACCGCAAAGCTTGTGAATCATATGAAGCTTGTGAATCGCAGGTTCTCGATGTCCGCGGTGGCCACACCACTCGCAGGTCGGCGCCTCCTGGCATTCCTTGCGCATATGTGTGCGATCCCCACATAACGAACACGCCGCCGGGTTTCGACAGTCCCTTTGTAGGTGGCCAGGTTTACCACAGTTGTGGCACCTGTGGGTCCCAACCATGGCTCGCCCTTCTGGTCCTTGAGCCGCAGCAGTTGCTGTCCATGCGGGGCGCCGTCGCTCCTACCCCCGATCTCCCATCAGTTCCACCTTGTACAAACACCTTCCTATCTCCACCCTTTTCACTACTTCATACGCTTCCTTCAGCATTGCCTTGGGCCCTTGATTGAAGATCCGCACGTGCACGTCCCGCTATAGGCCCGTGTTCAGCCTGTGCAAAATTTTCCCTATCAGCTGGCCTTGGTCTGGACAATTCATGTCTTCACTGAGTTCTATCGAGTGCCCATAGTAGGCAGAAAGCGACTCGTTTCCTCGGCGCCAAAACTCTCTGAACTCGGCGACACGCTCCGAAGGTCGAAACGGAAACTACTATCGCAGCATGTTCAGGAACCACGCAGTAGGATCTCTTTCTCCCGGTGCTCGTCCGGCCGCCCACTCCAGGAGCTCTTTCTTGAAATTTGATAATGTCTCTGCTTGCTCCGCCAACTTATTCGCTGGTCCTCGGAAATACTCCTCCGGGTCAAGCCGATCCTTTTTCCACCGCGCTTGCAGATTCTCTAGCTGCATGATGTAGTTTTTGAAGGATGGCCCTCTCCTCATGTCGCCCGAAAACCGCTCCAGAACTTCGATCTTTGGTAGCTACGTGTGCCTTTATCACTGTCCCGTCGTCTCGTCTTCCGTCTCTTGCCACGACGCACTCCGTTGGTATCCGCTCGACATCTCCTCGCTGATTCCCGCCTATCTCCACTTCAGATGTCGTTCCGACCCCGCCCGCTCCCCCCGTTTGTTCGCCGCTTCTGGGCCAGTCGCATCATCGCTGGGCCCATTCTGGCCCTCCGTATTTCCTTCTTTCAGAGGCTGGTTTTGCTCACGCCGCTGCCCACCTTCCCCGTTTATCGTCTTTACATCTATTTTCTTCGGCTCTATTGCTAATAACTCCTTGCCCGATCGCAGTCGCATACAACAGTTTGTATGTAAGCTCTGCTCCTTCTTACCCCATCCGGCTGGTTTTCATGGCCTTGTCTAGCACAGATTATCTCCAGAGAAGATATTACCGTAAGAAACAAGAACATACAAACAGTCGCAGTCACACGGCCTGTTCATCCTATTCTACCTCGAGCTATCATAGTTCAGGAGCTAGCATTCAACAAAATGAACTATTTTCTAACACTAGGCTGCCCATATCTGCTTCCTTGCTCCCACCAGTTGGTTACAGCATCATCCAACTTGGTTCGAACTCAGTGTCTGCACGAAAACAGAATCAAGCACACATGCACACAACATTTGCATTCCATTCGCCACCCCGTTTACAGCCTCCCCCACACTGCCTTGTTACTTCTCGGCTGCTTTGCCCCTCCGTCACCACCCCAAGTTACTGCTTGGCCCATCCCCATTTCAATCGCCAGGCCCAACCTTCCTCGGTTCGGCTTGCCCCACAAGCTCCCGCAAAGGTCATCCCCGCTAATGTACAAATATACATGCGTTACACCAACCTCCATCTCAACCTCTGTCATTAGTGATCGCTTCAGTTTTCTGACACACCCGACCCCACCAAATGTTGAACAGATGGCATTTTCTCCTGTGCGTCATAATGAGATTCAAATACAATGAAGATGCAATGAATATGTAGGATAGGAAGTAGGCTAACAATTGCATCTTGTATGTACTAATGTGCTTGCTTCGTACTGTGAGATGGTGTGGCCATGTCGAGGCCATGCCTGGGAAGGTAGGGTCGGCTTGGTAAGGTCTGGGGAGGTAAGGCCAGACCCCGGGGGAACCCGGCCAGACAAAAACAGAAACAGCGAGAGAAACAGAAACAAACAGGAACACACAGAAAGAGAGAGAAACGGAGACAGGGACAGAAGAGAAAGAGAAAGGGATAGAGAAACAGAGACAGGGACGGAAGAGAAAGTGAAAGAGATACAGAGACAGGGTCCGAAGAGAAAGAGAAAGAGAAACACAGACAAGGACGGAAGAGAAACAGAAAGGGAAACAGAGACAGGGATGGAAGAGAAGTGAAACAGAAACAGAGGCAGGGACGAACTGAAGCAAAAGCCATGCTCTGGCCGCCCAGGGATGTGGGGCAATTCGAGAGGGTTGTGTGAGGGGGTTGAGTGAGGGGGGTTGTGTGAGGGGGTTGCGTGAGGGGGCTGTGTGAGGGGGGTTGTGTGAGGGGGTTGTGCGAGGGGGTTGTGTGAGGGGGGTTGTGTGAGGGGGCTGTGTGAGGGGGGCTATGTGGGGGATGCTATGTGAGGGGGGCTGTGAGAGGCTGTGAGGGGCGTTGGGGGACCTTGGGGGGGCGATGGGGGGGAGGGAACTAATTATTTTGCCACACATCCTTCGTTTCATGTAAGCCTCTTTTCTTAATATAGGAGTTCAGCTCGAAATCCTTCCTCTTCCTCCCAACCCCCACCACTCCGACTCCCCTCTCCCCCTATAATAAACCCCAAGGGCTCTTGTCAAAAATTGGGCAAAGAGAGCTAGGGTTGACAATAAGCTTGGCATATTCCTACAAGAGCTCTGAGCATTTTGCATTATATTGAGGAAAAATACATCCTGTATATCAGTCTTATGACAGCTATTCTGTCCTGTTCTGTGGCATCGTCATGTCAGAAGCTAAATTTCACGACTTGTCAGAACATCGCTAGGTGGACTGGCGCAATTAAAGCTGTGGTACCAGTCCATATTCGACGGAAGGAAGAGAACCGCCTCCGCAAGCAGTGACACAAACATACGAAAAGAGAAATCACGGGAACTTAAAATGCCGAATCAGAACACCCAGATCCTTATGAGGACTGTCACACAACCCTATATCCAGATAAAAGGCGCTTGGGTCCTAAACCCGGAGAGTGCTTTTCATCGGGAGATTACGGCACGTGGGTGACAGATGGTCATGAAGGGTGAGGTGGCAGTAGGCCAGCACAGCGCCGCCCATGTGACAGCCTGGCATGAAGCGAGCCTCTCTCAGCAATGCTGCCTGCAAGGGGGAGGACGTGGCAGGAGGGGAAATACGATGGGGGATGAAAAAAGAGATGGTATGGTGGAGGAGATGGGCATGGGGGTTGATAGGTAGGGATGGTGGCAGCGAGTGCAGGCCCAGGCTAGTGAGAGGCGGGATGGGGACATTCACGGACAGATGCACCAGTCATTGCTGTCAGGGCCGTGCAGACAGCTCGGGGCACAGAGAGGTTGGGGCTAAGAGCACAGCCCGTACCAGCCCATCCCCAGCCACACCATCCCCTGTACCAGCCCATCCCCAGCCACACCATCCCTTGTACCAGCCCATCCCCAGCCACACCATCCCCTGTACCAGCCCATCCCCAGCCACACCATCCCCTGTACCAGCCCATCCCCAGCCACACCATCCCCTGTACCAGCCCATCCCCAGCCACACCATCCCCAGCCACACCATCCCCTGTACCAGCCCATCCCCAGCCACACCATCCCCAGCCACACCATCCCCTGTACCAGCCCATCCCCAGCCACACCATCCCCTGTACCAGCCCATCCCCAGCCACACCATCCCCTGTACCAGCCCATCCCCAGCCACACCATCCCCTGTACCAGCCCATCCCCAGCCACACCATCCCCTGTACCAGCCCATCCCCAGCCACACCATCCCCTGTACCAGCCCATCCCCAGCCACACCATCCCCTGTACCAGCCCATCCCCAGCCAGACCATCCCCTGTACCAGCCCATCCCCAGCCACACCATCCCCTGTACCAGCCCATCCCCAGCCACACCATCCCCTGTACCAGCCCATCCCCAGCCACACCATCCCCTGTAACAGCCCATCCCCAGCCACACCATCCCCTGTACCAGCCCATCCCCAGCCACACCATCCCCTGTACCAGCCCATCCCCAGCCACACCATCCCCTGTAACAGCCCATCCCCAGCCACACCATCCCCTGTACCAGCCCATCCCCAGCCACACCATCCCCTGTACCAGCCCATCCCCAGCCACACCATCCCCTGTACCAGCCCATCCCCTGCCACACCATCCCCTGTACCAGCCCATCCCCAGCCACACCATCCCCTGTACCAGCCCATCCCCAGCCACACCATCCCCTGTACCAGCCCATCCCCAGCCACACCATCCCCTGTACCAGCCCATCCCCAGCCACACCATCCCCTGTACCAGCCCATCCCCAGCCACACCATCCCCTGTACCAGCCCAACCCCAGCCACACCATCCCCTGTACCAGCCCATCCCCAGCCACACCATCCCCAGCCACACCATCCCCTGTACCAGCCCATCCCCAGCCACACCATCCCCTGTACCAGCACATCCCCAGCCACACCATCCCCTGTACCAGCCCATCCCCACCCAAACCATCCCCTGTACCAGCACATCCCCAGCCATACCATCCCCTGTACCAGCACATCCCCAGCCATACCATCCCCTGTACCAGCACATCCCCAGCCACACCATCCCCTGTACCAGCACATCCCCAGCCATACCATCCACCGTACCAGCACATCCCCAGCCATACCATCCCCCATACCAGCACATCCCCAGCCATACCATCCCCCATACCAGCACATCCCCAGCCATACCATCCCCCATACCAGCCCATCCCCAGCCACACCATCCCCTGTACCAGCCCATCCCCAGCCACACCATCCCCTGTACCAGCCCATCCCCAGCCACACCATCCCCTGTACCAGCCCATCCCCAGCCACACCATCCGCAGCCACACCATCCCCTGTACCAGCCCATCCCCAGCCACACCATCCCCTGTACCAGCCCATCCCCAGCCACACCATCCCCAGCCACACCATCCCCTGTACCAGCCCATCCCCAGCCACACCATCCCCTGTACCAGCCCATCCCCAGCCACACCATCCCCTGTACCAGCCCATCCCCAGCCACACCATCCCCTGTACCAGCCCATCCCCAGCCACACCATCCCTTGTACCAGCCCATCCCCAGCCACACCATCCCCTGTACCAGCCCATCCCCAGCCACACCATCCCCTGTACCAGCCCATCCCCAGCCACACCATCCCCTATACCAGCCCATCCCCAGCCACACCATCCCCTGTACCAGCCCATCCCCAGCCACACCATCCCCTGTACCAGCCCATCCCTAGCCACACCATCCCCTGTACCAGCCCATCCCCAGCCACACCATCCCCTGTACCAGCCCATCCCCAGCCACACCATCCCCTGTACCAGCCCATCCCCAGCCACACCATCCCCTGTACCAGCCCATCCCCAGCCACACCATCCCCTGTACCAGCCCATCCCCAGCCACACCATCCCCTGTACCAGCCCATCCCCAGCCACACCATGCCCTGTACCAGCCCATCCCCAGCCACACCATCCCCTGTACCAGCCCATCCCCAGCCACACCATCCCCTGTACCAGCCCATCCCCAGCCACACCATCCCCTGTACCAGCACATCCCCAGCCACACCATCCCCTGTACCAGCCCATCCCCAGCCACACCATCCCCTGTACCAGCCCATCCCCAGCCACACCATCCCCTGTACCAGCCCATCCCCACCCATACCATCCCCTGTACCAGCACATCCCCAGCCATACCATCCCCTGTACCAGCACATCCCCAGCCATACCATCCCCTGTACCAGCACATCCCCAGCCACACCATCCCCCATACCAGCATATCCCCAGCCATACCGTCCCCCATACCAGCACATCCCCAGCCATACCATTCCCCATACCATCACATCCCCAGCCATACCATCCCCCGTATCAGCACCTCCCCAGCCATACCATCCCCCATACCAGCACATCCCCAGCCATACCATCCCCCGTACCAGCACATCCCCAGCCATACCATCCACCCTACCAGCACATCCCCAGCCATACCATCCCCCATACCAGCACATCTCCAGCCATACCATCCCCCATACCAGCACATCCCCAGCCATACCATCCCCCATACCAGCACATCCCCAGCCATACCATCCCCCATACCAGCACATCCCCAGCCATACCATCCACCGTACCAGCACATCCCCAGCCATACCATCCCCCATACCTGCACATCCCCAGCCATACCATCCCCCATACCAGCACATCCCTAGCCATACCATCCCCCATACCAGCACATCACCAGCCATACCATCCCCCATACCAGCACATCCCCAGCCATACCATCCCCCATACCAGCACATCCCCAATCATACCATCCTAACTACCATAGGCAGGGCTCTGAGGCTGGTGGAGTCGAACTTGTGCTCTGGTGTAGCAGAGGCGTAGCTTGAGAGTGCCTCTGGTGCCGTGAGGGAGGTATGGCAGAGGACCCACATGGCATCACCCACATGGCATCACCCACATGGCATCACCCACATGAAATCACCCACATGGCATCACCCACATGGCATCACCCACATGGCATCACCCACATGGCTGTTAACGGGACTGAAGTGTTGGCCCCGGCCTCGCTTGGGCAACGCCGACGACTTGGTCGGATGTACGGGAGAAGCAGCCGACCGTACATAGTGAGGGAGCTGCTCGACGGGCTTCGTCGAGCTGCAGGGATCACTGTGGTGTTTCCGTCGACCAATGGTGCTCGACGGTTACAGATGACTGGGCTGGGCGACGAGTGGGCCGTCGACCAGGAGGAGCAGTTCGACCGGGAGGTCGACGGAGCAGTCCGTCGACCTGACATGTGAGCAGCGGTCGACGAGGGGAGCTCGGCGACAACAACTGACAGTTCTGGTCGACGGAACGGGTCCGTCGACCAGGGAGTAGCTCGACGGGAGCTGTGGTCGACCAGGGGCACCTGGAGGTCGACCAGAGGCACCTGGTGGTCGACCAGAGGCACCTGGTGGTCGACCACAGGCAGTGGTGGTCGATTAGAGCACTTGGTGGTCGACCATAGGCAGTGGCGGTCGATTAGAGCACTTGGTGGTCGACCAGGTCAACCGCGTAACCTGCTCGACGAGTTCTACGGAGGCACGCGAACGTCGTCGAGGGCGCGATGACGAAGGCGACTTCGTGTTAGTATCCCGAAGTCGATGTGGCTCGTCAGGCGCAGACAACAGCCGACGGATGCTCAACGGTGCAAGTCGGACCAATCGTCTGTGCACACATGCGAGCGTGCGCACTGTTTTCTTCTACGTGGTAATGCTGGACAGCCCCTTTGCTGCAGCGTTGGCACGCCGTCGACCTGCAGTGTTGGCAGGTCCCCCTTCTGCAGTGCTGGCGCGGCTCCTCTACGCAATGCTGGCAGGCGGTCGACCAAGCTGTGCTGACGGTCGACCAGGCTAGCTGAAGAGTTGCTAGGTGCCTGATGTAGTCATTGTTGTCATTGCTTGTTTTAATAATTTTGTAATTCCAACTTTGCTAGTGGAAACTCTTGCCAACTTCTCCCATGAATGTGCAAGCACTAACGAACTAAGCAAAGCTATGATCACTCCTAGTAGTTCGTGCCAACCCTCGTAGTCTAGCTCACTACCGTTGTCGAGTGACTCTCCGCAATGGCATCAACCACATGGCATCACCCACATGGCATCACCCACATGGCATCACCCACATGGCATTACCCACATGGCATCACCCACATGGCATCACCCACATGGCATTACCCACATTGCATCACCCACATGGCATCATGACCCACATGGCATCACCCACATGGCATCACCCACAAGTACCAGCGGCATACCAGTGGAATGGCCCTGAGGCTGGTGTGGGCTCAAATTTGTGCTGCGCAGAGGTGTAAGCAAAGAAAGGGCGGCATGGCACATGCATACCAGCACATCCCGCCACGTACCAGTGGCACGGCTCTGAGGCTAGTGGATTCGAACTTGTGCTGTGCAGAGGCGTAGCAAGAGAGCACCTCTGGTGCTGTGAGGGAGGTGTGGCAGAGGAACATGGCGAGGGATCGCACGTTCTCCCTTCGTCTGCACAAGCCCAGGAATAGCATGCCGTGCTGGGGAGAGAAGGAGAAGGGAAAGGGGAGACAAGGTGGGGAACATGAACAGCCATTTGTATGGGTGGTGCAGTGTGGCAGAGGAACATGGCGAGCGATCGCATGTTCTCCTTGCGCCTGCACAGACCAAGGAAGAGCATGCCATGCTGGGGCGGAGAGGAGGGGGAAGACAAGGTGTGGGACATGAAGAGCCAAGTGTATGGGAATACGCAGTGGGTGAGGAGCATGTGTTACGAAGAAAAGACAAGTGGCAGACGAGAGAAGGTGAGAGTGAGTGTGAGGAGGAAAGCTCACCAGGGAGTTAGCAGGGGCGCCTGTCTCCTCCTCCACCTCTCCCTTCATGCCTTCAAACATCTCATGCGCGATGGTGGCGTTGAGAAGAGAGGGCGATGAGGAGGGGGAGGCAGGCGCAAAAGGGGAAGGAGCAAGCGATTGAGAAAGTGAAAGAGAGAGTGTGAGAAGAGGGTGAGGAGTGTGAGGAGGAGAGCTTACAAGGGAGTCGGCAGGGGCGCCGGTCTCCTCTTCTACCTCTCGCTTCATGCCTTCAAACATCTCATGTGCGATCGTGGCGTTGAGAAGGGAGGGCGAGGAGGAGGGGGAGTCGGTAGAAGACAGCGGAGGAGAGGCAGGGGTGGTGGAGGATTGCGGGTTGGTAGGGTGGTGTTGGGCGGGGAGAGATTGTGGTGTGTCAGAGATCCCTGCCTCTGATGGCTGCCGTGGTGTGCGTGATGGGAGGGATAGAGGGAGAAGAGGAGAATGTCTAGTGATGAGAGAGGAGGGAGAGGAGAAAGTAGGGGGAGAATGTAAAGAGAGAGGAGGGAGAAGAGAAAGGGGGGGAAGAAAGGTTGGGAAAACTCAGGGAAAACAAGGGGTGCAGAGAGAACAGCAAGAGGGTTGGGAATGAGGGGCGAGGGAATGAGGGGTGGATGGATGATGTTACCTCCGGGTGTCCTCCAGGGAAAACTGGGCAGTTTGGGAATTCGCCCACAGCCGTGCCGCGCTGCAGCAGCAGGAAGCACCCATCAGCCGTCACCACCAGGGCCGCATTTCCCAGCGCGTCCCCCATATGCTGGCATGCTTGCGCGTCTCGCTGGCCTATGGCCTGCTGACACGTGGCACAGGCAGCCATACGTTCACCAGACTCTTTGGGATGGTGGCATTCTTGGGAATCAGTAGCAGCAGCGGAAGCAGTGGCAGCAGGAGCAGCATTGCCAGGCTCATCACCATCCTGCGCCATCTCAGTAACATCCCTGCCAGCACCACACTCCCTGGAACCCCCTCCCACGCCTTGGTCCCTGCATGCCCCCTCAATGCTCTCCCCTTCATCAGCCACCCCGTCGGCTCCTCCTGCCCCACCCCTGCCCGCCCCCTCAGCTATTTTCAGGCGCTTGGCAAAAGTGCTGCCGGAGAAGGAAGGCGCAAGGAAGCTTCGCCAGTCGGAGCAGAGGTTGGTCGTGATGAGGCTTCTGATGGGGTCATGAGGTGGGAGAGGTGCAAGGGGAGTGGTGCGAGAATAGCAGTGCAAGAGATGAGGAGGTGGTGATGGGGGAGAAGAGGGATGGGGCGAGGAGTGCAAGATTGAGGAGTCGACGATAGGGTGCTGGGAAGATGCGAGATGGCCAGTGTGTGCGAGGATAGTGCAAGTGATGACGAGATGATGAGAGAGCATTCATACAATGTACCTGAATCTAGTCTAATCTAGTCTAGCATTTGTTGGGAATCACGCTGGTTGACCTTCAGATTGTAACTACCCAATTACCTTGGAATATAAAGCAATTCGTCTGGGTTCTGAAACGAAACAATACATGTGGTTAAGACCAGCATCAAAGCACCGAAGCTGGGCTGGGGGGGTTAAGACCCTCATGGCCAGTTGGTCACCCACAACGTGCTGAAATCACTATTAGAATTCTCAAAACCGATTGGTCGCCCTCGATGTGCCGTGCGTGGCTCTGCGAGCCAAGACGCCTGTCTCTAGCCATGCATCCGCATTTGGTCCAAATGCCTTCACTTCCCCCCTGCATGCCTCATCTCACCACCCATCCCCCACGCCTCCCCTCCTTCCCCAATTTCCCCCTTTCTGTCTCACTTGTGATCCGTGAGGTCCAGGTGCATGCTGGTTACCACCATTCTCCCCTCTCTCCCTCCTCTCCCCTCTCCCTATCCTTCCCCATTTCCCCCTCTCTCCCCTTTCTCCCCCCCTTTCCTCGCTTGTGGTCCGTGAGGCCCACATTCAGGCTTTCTTGCACACCTTCCCTTCCCCTGCCGCTTCTGGCCCTTCCGAACCTTCAGATGCTCTCGATGGCGCACCAGCAGCAGAGGGAAGCATGGGCACACACGGGCTCGTACTGAGTACTCACTTGTAATCCGTGAGACCCAGGTGCAGGCACACACGAGGGCTGCCCTGCACACCTCGCTCCGCTGCTTCTGAACCTTGAGGCGCTTCCGATGCCCCAGCAGCAGCAGCAGCGGGGGAGGTGGCGGAGGATGGGGGATGCAACGAGAACCCACCATACTGCAAAGTGCATGCGATGCGGGCATGGATAGGGGTGTATCAGGGGAGGTGCAGGCAGGGAAAAGGGAGCGGGGAGGAAGGAGGGGTAAAGGGTGGGGGAGAGGGAGGGGAAGGGAGGAAGTGGGCTTGAAATTGCGGGGCGACGGATGGGGGATGCAGCAAAAACCCACCGTACTGAGGTGCGCATGAGGGCCGTGTGGACTGGGACGTGGGGGGCGGGGGAGAGGGGGGGAAAGGGGGGAGCCTCTGAGTGGAATCGAAAGTCCCAGGGTGTAAAGGATTGCGGCTGCAAAGAAAGAAAACTCGTACTGATGGGTGCATGGGAGCGTGGGGGGTGGGGATTTTGGGGGTGGTGGGGAATGTGAACAGCAAAGGGAGCGTCAACAGGATACACACTGAGGGTGATTGTAAACCAATAATATCAAGGGCATAGAGTCTCACCACCACCCTACTTTCAAGGCTCAAGATGACAAAAGTACCAGCAAAGGCAGAAGTGACTCACTCTGAACTTGGACCCATTGTACAGCGATGGCTGATGCGCCTTGCGCCTCTGCCACTCCTGCCACCACCACGTGTGCGGGAAGATGGAAGTAAGGGGGGAAGAGGCAGGGGGGGAAGGGAGGGTGAGGTGAGGGGTGTGAATGTGAGAGCATGCGAGGGTGCTGAGTGTATGGATGTGAAATGAAAGCATTGTGTTGTGCAGTGGGGCATGCGGTTGAAGAAGTGTATTAAGAGTCGATTAACACCACACCCCACCACGACCCACCACCCACCACCGCACTCCACCACTCACTGTGTGCATCATCTTCTCAAGCGCGCTGTTAGGGTGGGGCCTGCGGTTGAAGCGCGACGAGAAGTGCACCGCCAGCTGGCAGCGGTGGGGAAGGGGACGAGGAGGGAAAAGAGACGAGACGTGCACCGCCAGAAAGGCAGCGGTGGGTGGTGGGGCAAGCAGGAAATAGGAGAGGCCGTAAATGGCATGGGGACAACAGCATTGGGAAAGCAGGGAGGAGAAGCTCAGCAGCAGTTGGTAGTAACGTGTGGTGTGGGGGACAAAATGGAAATCACGGCAATGGGAAAAGAAGCGATAGGAAAGACAAAGGCAACAATGGGACGGGAAAATGCTAGCGAGCCGGGCTGGGAAAAAGGCACAAAGTGGGGGGGGGGGGGAAGAAGTGGTGTATCAATCAAGTTAGCAGCAGAGGTGAGTGGCATGCAATCTGCCCAGATAGCCCTGCACCAACTAGTGCCACTCTACCCACCCTCTCCTCTCCCACCCACATGCCCCTTTCCCATCCACCTGCCCCTCACCCATCCCACCCACCTGCTCCCCAGGGACGCCGGCCAGGCGAGGAGCAGTTGAGGAGGATGCTGAACGCAGACGAGTCCACCTGCGCCCTTGCCTCCTCCTCCGCCTCCTCCGCCCATGGAACAGCTCCTCTCCCCCTCACCCTCCCCGCCACCACCCACCCACCTGTTCTTCAGGAACGCCTGGTGAGGCGCAGTTGAGGAGGATGAGGAAGACAGACGGGTCCACCTGCCGCCTCGCCTCCTCCTCTACCTCCTGCAGCGATCGCACCCCTCTCTGCCCAGGCTCCTCCTGTTGCTGCTCCTGCAGCGATCGCACCCCTCTCTGCCCAGGCTCCTCCTGTTGCTGCTCCTGCAGCGATCGCACCCCTCTCTGCCCAGGCTCCTCCTGTTGCTGCTCCTGCAGCGATCGCACCCCTCTCTGCCCAGGCTCCTCCTGTTGCTGCTCCTGCAGCAACGTCCTTCCCCCTTCCACTGAGCCAGCCGGCCATTCCTGTTGGTTGACTTCCATGGCAGGGCGCGTGTGCAATGCGCTGTGCTGTGCTGTGCTGGGCTGGCGTGAGGGCGCGTACGAGAGGGAGGGGAGAGGAGCTGGTTGGGAGCGGTTGGAAGGATGCATGGAAAGAGTTGCACGGTGTCATTAGCGATGGGCACGGACTGTTGATGTGATGACGATGTGATTATGGTGTGATCTGTGATTATGATGTGATTATGGTGTGATTATGATGTGATTACGATGTGATTATGGTGATGTGATTATGATGTGATTCTGATGATGTGACTATGATGTGATTATGATGTGATGATGATATGATGATGATGGCATCATGATGTGCTGAGGAGGGAGGGGTGACTCCGTGTGTAGCCTTTTGCGCCCCTCACCAACCCCTTTCCACCACCTCTTTCCATTCCTCCCAACCCCTAAACACATACAAGCCTTCACGCAACGCACTCCTGCCTCACCCACCCTTCCTCCCTCCCACATCCCCGGGGCAGCAGGCGCGGCGCGGACGGGTTGACGGACGTGCGGGGAAGCGGGAGCAGGCGGAGCCGGGGGTTGTGAGGGGAAGGAGCGAGGCGCGTGGGCGGGTCGATCGACGTGGAGGGAAGCGGAAGAGCAGGCGCGACCGCGGGGGATGCAGGAAAACGGAGGGCGGGAGCGAGGCGTGTGGGGGAGCGAGGGGAATGCGCGGGGAGAGCGAGGGGCGAGGGGGGGGAGACCGACGAGAGGCGCAAGGGCGAGCGGGAAGGGCGGGGAATGAATTCCGTAACCGTATTATCTGGAATGTCAGTTCAGAATTACCAGATGTCGTGTACGCGGTACAATCCCTGGCCAACATCTTAGATACGAAAAGTGAATCTCGCTCGATTCATGTTTCTGCCCAGTTTTTCCATCGGCATAATCGCTATATCTAATTGTTGATTTGTAACGGTTCTTGGTTCGCTAAAGAATGCCACATACCAGGGTTAAGCTTGTATAAGAACACTGAAAGATGATATTAGTAGCAGAATGGGCTACACCTAAACCACCAATACCAAGAGAACAAGCAGCACGAGTAGATATATATTAGTTTTGGTCCTGTTGGTAGCCGTTGCGCCTGCAAAAAAGAACCACGGTAAAGAAATTCACTCAGCATAACGCCACAACTGAAGTAAAAAGGGTTGGCAGCACCAAATTGCTGCCTCAAGTTTGCACATGCTGAAGGCCTGTGGCGTGATATAGCAAGACAAGAAGTGGGCTGCAAAATCGAGCAGGGCTCCACAAAGAGGTGCTTCAAACCAGACGTACCCTTTGCCTCCGGTGTTGAGAGTGGCTCGCCTGCACAACAAACCGGAGGTGAGAGAGCACAAGGACACGTGAACTTTCATCAATGCTTGTCCAGAGCAAATGCACCCTTAGCCTCCGGTCTCAATTGTTGGTGAAAGAGAAACAAGAGTGCCGTAATTCCCAAGAGTGCTTCCCTTCAGTGACAAGATTCAACTGAAGGGCTGCATGGGCCAAGCTTAGGCATGGCAAGCAATCCATGGATCTCCTCGCCTATCCTCTGCGCTCTCTCCTCTTCCTTCCCATTCTCCATCTCAAGAATAACACATCCCTGTATTTTCTTGAAATACCAACCACAATCAGGTTGCACAATGCACACATACCTTGTGCGCCTTGACTCGGACTCGACGGGCGCACACTCTCTGCAGGAGGCAGTGGGGATGACGGGGGGAAAGAGATTGACGTGGACAGAGAGTCGGGAGGAAGGAGAGGATGGAGATGATGTGAAGTGGTGGGGGAAGGATCAAAGAGACAGTAATGGAAGAGATTGAGGGAGGGGGAAGAGGTGCCGAGTGGAACAAAATGAAGCACCTACAGCCACCACAAGACAAAACAGGGCCCTAGGGTGGGTGGGTGGGACGATGCCCCAGCAGAGAGAGAGCAGCACAGTGTGTTACAATTGCATGCTAAAACATGCTTCTAGCGAATTAAAGGGTGTCACAGCGTGCTATAAGTGTGTCACAGTGAGCTCAACTGCTCAATCTCACATGCACATGGCCCCTCTCACCTGCACATGGCCCCTCTCACCTGCACATGGCCCCTCTCACCTGCACATGGCCCCTCTCACCTGGGTATATTGGAGTCACAAAGAAATCTCAAGAAGATTCTCACCTGGCCCATGCCCGCGACTGGGTGCTGTGGTGTTGGGCGTGGCAGGAGCAGGGTTACCTTCTGATAGAATACGAGGATGAGGAGGGGAAGGGGCGGGGGAGGGGAGGGGGGGGGAAGGGGGGGGAAGGAGGGGGAGAAAGGGGGGGAAGAGAATGGACGAAACGAAGAGGTGCGAGGCGGGGGTGGCAGTGCGGTGGGGGAATGGAGGGAGGGAGGGAGGGAGGAGGAGGGAAGAAAGTGTTATCACAGAAAGAGAGGGCGGTGGCAACGAAGAAAATCAAGGACCTTGTGAGCAGCATGCGAAAGAGTGAATCAAGACTCGAATGAGTGAAGTGAGACCTGCTGTTCAACCCCACCTCGTGCCGTTGCTCTATGTTGAGAAAGACGCAGGGAGGACGCTGCGGCCTGCGTCTGGATGCAGCGTCTGGACGCTCGGACACAGGACGCACATCGATTGTTTTTTCGGGCTGCCCGAAAAAAAAATAATTTCTCGATCCCGAAATTCACATTCGCGATCTCGACGCGAATCTTGAAATCACGAAATTTCGACCCACCCTTGCCCAAATCGACATTCTAAAACAGCCCCCCAAACATTTCATAACCCTTCATGCAAACTTGAATTTCTCAAATCTCTCAACCACATCACATCTAGAAAACCCAACCTTTGTGGCCCACCACCAAGCCCATTTAGCAATGCAACCAAGTCATTTGTGGTTTCTCATTTTACCCACCCACCCAAATTTCTTTCGAAAACCCTAGAGGTTTTAGCTTACTAGCTTGACTCCGTTATGGCTTCCTCTCGCCTTAATCTTGAGTTTTGGGGGAAAAAATTGTTGTTGGGGCCAAATTTGCCTTGAAAGTGTGGAACGTCCCCCCCCCCCTGTCTTCCCATGCCCTATAACAAATGTTTTTGCCTGCCCGGGGGATTTTTTTGCCCTGCCCGGGCTAGCGTCTTTCTGGTCCTGGTGCTGCGTCCTGCGTCTGGATGCATGCGTCCAGGATGCAGGACGCGTCTTTCGCAACATAGGCGTTGGTGGTAACCACAAGTGGCAATCGATCTAGAACCACATTCATGGGTTGTGAAGTGAAGAGGAAGGGCAGGTGAGGGGGATGACAGGAAGCGCTAAGGCAGGAGAGGAGAAGGAAGCACCTTGCGGAAGTGACGTTCGGAAAAGCTCCTGGCCAGTAGAGCCTGCAAGTACAGGTTGAATGGAAAAGAAGAGGACAGAGACAGAAAGAATGACAAGGAAATACTCCACAATGCAAAGACAGCACTAGTCAACTGAGCAAAGGAGGAAATGACTTATGAGGGGGTAGCAGCAGCATGACTCACAATTGAGGGGGTGCCAGCCGAACAGCCCTCTCTCCTCGTCCATGAGGATGTAAAAGTTCTGCAGCCACGACTCTGAGGGTGATGTGTGGGATGGGGCGAGGTAGGGGCTATGAAAGAAAGACCTGAGAATATGAGGAAAAGAGCACGCTTGTCTGTCAAGATGGGGAGACAGGAAGACAGCCCTCGCCTCTCTTCCCGTCCATGAGGATGTAGAAGTTCTGCAGCCACGACTCTGAGGGTGTGTAGGAGCGGGAGGAATGGGTGGGAGGATGCAGGATTCTCCATGTCCCCCCCGCCCCCCCCGGGTTCTAGAGATGGAAGGGCACTGTCGGATGTGCTGGGGGGACAATGGGGGATGGAACCAGGCATTCATAACAGAAACAAATGTAAGAAGGTTCCATGGTTACTCTGCTTAAGTGCGCACCTCCAATGATGGCGGAAACACGCGAGGAGGAAATGGGGAGGGCTGCCAAGCAAAGCAGAGCCATGCCGGTGCGCTCCATGAAGCCCTGCAGGGAGGGAGGGAAAGGGGCGAGGAAGTCAAGGGTAGGGGGAGTGAAGAGCGTGCGAAAGATGAAGAGGGGAGAAGGGGGCACAACAGAGAGGAGGATAAGGGAGGGAAAGAGAAGGGGTTGGGGAAGAACAGGAAAAGGAAGGAGACACGAACGTGTTTGGTTTGGAAGGGGTGAATGAGGGGCAAGAGGGAAGGGTGGAGGGGGTTGAGCAGTTGAACCAAGAGAAGTGACAGTTGCACCAGCACATCTCTTTAGCTTCAGATTGTGTGAGAAGCAGAGAAAGGGAGGAGACACACACCTACTCTCAGGTTTCATTCCCAGTCGTTCAATTGGAAATATAACACAGCAAAAAAAAAAAAAAGTCGACGTGTACAAAGAATAGGTAGTTGGACGGAATGCACTCACCCCGAGGAATAGGTAGTTGGTGGGTGGAACGGCCCAGGTCGTGCTGCCGAAGCTGATAAGAAGGTTCGGAAAGACCGAGTCGAAGAGGGTGGCATTGCTGGCAAGTTCGGAAACAGGCAGGGAGATGAAGTGGGGAGGAAACAGGCAGGCAGCAGGCAACAAGCTGAAAATTGTTGATATAATAAGGACACAAGGCTCTACTTTGACTGCTGATATCGATGAATATGAAACTTCATACTTTCACAAATGCTGAAGTGAGAGGTGTGTGGGCACCTGGGAAAGAAGGTGCAATCCCCGAGGGTGGGGTCAGGAAAGGCAGAGAGAAGAGGGTCCGAAAACACCTGCTTGCAACACCAAGAGACAGGGGAAAGCAGAGTAAGTTTCAGAGTGGGGAGTGAGAAGTATGAGGGAACAGGGCAGAGAGGAGTGAAGGGAGAGTGGAGAGGGCAACAAGAGTTGCAATGAAAGAGTGGGCGGCAGGGAAACAGGAGGGGCAGCCAAGTGAAAGTGGAGTGGAGCAGCAGAAAACACAGAAATATGTTCTCAAAGACTATTCATTCCTTCCATGCATACCACCACATACCACCGTTCACCAATCAGACCTTTCCAAGCCTAACCCCACCACATCCTATCGCATTCCACCACATCCCACCACAGCTCACCACATCCTTTAGCGAGGTGTAGACGGCGGGTGGCAGTGCAGTGAAGGTGGTGCCACTGTCAATGATGACGCCGCCCGCCAGGCTGGCCGCGTCCACTGTTGACAGCGAATCAGCGCCCTCCACCTGGCGGCCTCCGATGCTCATGCCACTGATGTTGATGTAATGGTACGGGCTGCGGCGTCGTGCACGTGTGCGTTGAGGAGAGGACAAAGGGGGAACGAGGGAAGAGGGGAATGAGGGAGGAGGAAGTGCGGAAAGCAGGCCACCTGCCATCTGGCAGCCTCCGATGCTCATGCCACTGATGTTGATGCAATGGTATGGTACCCTGGCTGGGTGTCATGCGTGAGAAATGGGAAAGGCAGCAGGGGAGGGGAGTGGGAACGAGAGACACATGCAGGAAAGACGGGAATTAGGTAGAGGGAAATGAGGGGGAGAGGAAAACGAGGGGGGAGGAGAAAGAAGGAGATTGTGAAGGATTCCCAGATAGCGGTTGTGGGAATCTAGTGTCTCCAATGGTGCCAAGTGCATGAGAGTGCCTGCTTGTGGGGAGTCGAATGGCAGGATGCACCTCAGCAGGAAATATCAGCCACACCACACCTTTGTATTTCAGTGACGAATGTCGATTTATCAATTTGACAAATGATGAGAAGATTGAAGCTAGTAGATGCGTCATGTGCTTGACTGACTGACAGCACGTGATCATCTACTCCCTCCCACACATCACTATCTGTCATGTCACCAGTACTCACAGTCCATCCACATGCCACAGCGCTGCCGTCTGCATCTCCGCCGGTTGCTCCGATCGGCCAATTGCCAAGTGGCCTCCCCCCGTGTCCCCCCCGTCCAGGCAGAAGGAGAAGGCAAACGGCATTACTGCTTCCTGCTGCCCTGCTCCTGCCCCTGTGCCTGCTGCCTCTGCTGCCGCGGCTGTTGCTGCTGCTGCAGGGGAGGCTGCCACTTGTGTTGGCGAGTCCGTGACGGAGGAGGGGGAGGAGGAGGACGCAGAGGAAGGAGAGAAGGGTGAGGAGGAGAGCTGGCGGATGACGGAGCGCGGGCCCGAGCCAAAGCCCATGAGGCCGTCGACTGAGAAGGGGCTGCTGATGAGCGTGCCGGTCTGCAGTGAGGAGCAGCTGGTGGTTGTGGGGCACAGGGGCATGGACCCATGGAGGAAGTGGGGAAAGGGTGTTTCTTAAGTTAGAGTGGAAAGGGCTTGTTTGCCGTAAGGGCAGCTGGCTGCAAGGGGGGGCGTGGAGGTAGTAGGGAGAGGGTGGAGGAAGCGAACGGATGGGATGCGGGGAGAGGCGGGAGAAGCAGAGAGGACAGTCACGAGAGTGGACAGTCACGAGAGTGGACAGTCACGAGAGTGGACAGTCACGAGAGTGGACAGTCACGAGAGTGGACAGTCACGAGAGTGGACAGTCACGAGAGAGGACAGTCACGAGAGTGGACAGTCACGAGAGTGGACAGTCACGAGAGTGGACAGTCACGAGAGTGGACAGTCATGCGGATTGATGCACAGGGAAAGGGATTGAGGGAGGATTGTGGAGTGGAGAACATGGATGAACGACCTGGCAGTGGCGCCATGTTGCTCCATTCATGCAACATGCTGCCATGACATCATGCCATGTGACGTCATCAAGCCATGCCATGTGACGTCATCAAGCCATGCCATGTGACATCATCATGCCATGTGACAACATCATGCCATGTGATATCCATCCACACCTTGTAGCACCATATTGCTCCACTCACCCAAACAGCACACGTGGGCTGATAACACTGCTCCCACTCCCTGCTGCCGACCCCTCCAATGGCTGACCGCCGCCTGGCACAGCCGACGGCGCTGACGTGGCAGCTGCCACTCCACCCAACCCCGCTTGCGTCACACTCAGGTTAATCACATCAGTCACCAGGGTCCCCTCCGTGCTGCTGCCATCCCCGTAGCGAATCACATACTGACACGTCTCACTGGGAGCAGGCCAATCAGCAGCCGCCAGGGGCAGGGAGCCTGTCAGAGAATCAGAGGCATTGGAGGAGGTTGAGAGTGGTAGAGGCTCTGGAACCCCACTGGTGGGAGAGTTGGGCTGAGCAGAGCGGGAGATGGTGGTGGGAGTGCGGACTGTGCGGGTGAGGTTGGGGGCAACGCCGCAGCCGATGTTGGGGCGGCCGGTGGGGCACAGAGGGCTGCTGCAGCTGACGGGTTGTGCTGTGAGCGAGTTCTCCGGTCGGTAGGGGGCGCTGAGAGGCTGGACAAGGGAAGGGAGGGGACAGAAGGAGAAGGAGATAAGGGTTGGTGGGCTGGGCAGAGGGGGGCTGCTGCAAGCCATGGGCTGCGCCGTGCGGGAGATTTCTAGGCGGTTAGGGGCTGGACGGGGGGAAGGGAGGGGACAGAAGGAGAAGGGGACAAGTTGGGGGACAGAGAGAGGGCTGCTGCAGAACACGGGCTGTGCTGTGAGAAAAATTTCTGGGCGGTAGGGGGCGCTTAGGGGCTAGAGAGGGGAAAGGGAAGCGAGAGAAGGAGGGGGCAGAGACAAAGGTGGGATGGCAGAGAGGGCTGCCGCAGCTCAAGGGCAGGCTGTGAGCGAGTTTTCAGGGCGGTAGGTGGCGCTCAGAGGCTGGAGTGGCGAAGGGAGGGGACAAGGGAAGAAAGGGACAAGGGAAGAAAGGGACAAGGGAAGAAAGGGACAAGGGAAGAAAGGGACAAGGGAAGAAAGGGACAAGGGAAGAAAGGGACAAGGGAAGAAAGGGACAAGGGAAGAAAGGGACAAGGGAAGAAAGGGACAAGGGAAGAAAGGGACAAGGGAAGAAAGGGACAAGGGAAGAAAGGGACAAGGGTTAGGGAGCAGAGCGTATTGCTGCTGCAGTGCAAAGCGGAATAATGATGTGCAGTAACGAAAACATGTTGATCTTGCCACGAGTGTTTGTTCTTACAATGAGTGTTTGTGCTTGCAACAGGTGTCTGTCTGTGCTTTCAACGAGTGCTCGCCCTTAAACAAAGCGTATGTTCTTACAACGAGGGAAGAGTTGGTGGCACACTGGATGCAGTCACACGGCACCCACAGCATGTCACTGCCCGTGTCAAACACCACTGAGAAGGAGCGCGCAGGTGATGAGAGCGACACGTTCAGATAGTACAGCCTGGGGCAGGGGCGGTGAGGTGGGGAGAAGGCTTGGGGAATTCTGAGAGGTGACCCACACATCCAAGGTTCAAAAAAACGACCGTATTTTTTAAAATTTACTGTAAAAAACGGTACCGTAAAAAACGGCCGTAAAAAAGGGTAAAAAACGGTTCCAAAAGGTGATTTTCGTCTAAAGAAAAAAACATCCATATTCTGGGACCAAATTGATGGAAAAAACCACCAGGATGAAGAGGACGATCCCCTCTTTGCTTGTGTGCATGCGTAAGCGTGATCGAAAATGTATTCGACCTTGTTTTTGCCTTTTTTCTTGGTGATAAGAGTTCTCTAAAAAAAAAACGGCCGTATTTTTTAAAATTTACCGTAAAAAACGGACCGTAAAGAACGGACCGTAATTTACGATTACCGTATTTTTGAACCTTGCACACGTCCCCCCAGAATCATCCCCCACACCCTGACCAGTAAGGCCACACCGTCATTCATCTCCATGGAGAAGGAACAAGCAGGCGAGGAGAGCGACACACTCAGGATGAAGACGCGGCAGGAGAGAAGGAGTGGGAGGGGAGTGTGAAGGGAAGGGAGTGTGTGAAAGGAAGGGTGAAGGAGCAAGGAAAGAACGGGAAGCGCAGAAAGCACAGCCTGCAGGTACATGGGTCTGTCTGAGTAAGCGCATCCGTCCAACCAAATCCTGCCCGCCTACCTGCCATCAGATGCCGCAATGTCTCAAGACCTTTCCCCCACATAGACCCACGTAGCCCACACATTCCCCCGGAGTCATCCCCCACACTACGCCCAGTAAGGCCACACTACGCCCAGTAAGGCCACACTACGCCCAGTAAGGCCACACTACGCCCAGTAAGGCCACACTACGCCCAGTAAGGCCACACTACGCCCAGTAAGGCCACACTACGCCCAGTAAGGCCACACTACGCCCAGTAAGGCCACACTACGCCCAGTAAGGCCACACTACGCCCAGTAAGGCCACACTACGCCCAGTAAGGCCACACTACGCCCAGTAAGGCCACACTACGCCCAGTAAGGCCACACTACGCCCAGTAAGGCCACACTGTCATTCTTCTCCATCCGCCCAAACCATCCCAGGTTCATCCCAAATTACCCATATGGGATGGTTCGCCCTCCCAGGTCAAACGTTGCAATGCCGCTGCCACCTGCACCTGCTTCTGCGCTTGCAGGCGAATCTTGCAGTCTGCGCGCACCAGTGGCAGCAGCAGCTGCTGCTGCTCTTGTGGGTGCCGGGGGGGCAAAGGCCGTGAGCATGCGGTGCTTGTCCCGGTGGCGCAGGCGCATGTGGTATGTGGCATGCTGTGGGTGGGGTGGAGGGAGGGAGAGAGAGTGGGGAGAGAGGAGGGAGGGGGCATAGGGGTAGAGAGAAAAAGGGAAGGGCGGAAGGGGGAGGGGGGGAGGGACGGAAAGAAGAGGGCAAGTAGGGGAAGAGAGAAGTGAGGACGAGCGGGAGAGAAAGGAGGAAACGAAAATGGGATGGGGTTTATGGGAAAGTGGCTGACACTAAGAAAGAACTTTAATCAATATCTCGTGAGGAAGGGAGGGATGAGATGGGATGGGAACACGAGGCTATGTGGGTCCAGCCAGCCAAACCTATTGCACGTCACACACGACACGACCTCTGCAGCGAATCCACTGCACAAGTGACTTTGTGTTGCATGCAATAGGTTAAATTGGTCCCACATAGCTTGATGTTCCCATCGCCCAAATCCATGAATTCAATACGATGAAGCTCACTGCAATAGCGAATTGATTGTTGGTACGTGGCATGCATGCACTCACATCAGCATCACATCCATGCACAGCAGTATGGTGCACAAGAGCCGCCGTCAGCACATGCCCCGTCTCCCCTAGAAGCACTCTGCCCTGCGCGTGCCCCCTGCGCTGCCAGGGGGGCAGCCACGTGGAGGAGGGTGGGCGGGGGAAGAGGCGCGCGAGGGACTGCAGAGAGTAGAGGGGCGGGCAGAAAGGGTCAAGGGGCGGACGGGAGGAGGGGCGGGAAGGTGGGGGCCGAGACAGGGGAGGAGAGCGGGATGGCATGGCAGGAGAGATATAGTGAGGAACACTTGTGAGATTTTATAAATGCAGTTGTGCGGGTGAGTGCACAGGGACTGCGCTGGAGATGAGTTGCTAAGTGGAAGCGGGTGAGTGACGTGTACCCACATGGGGATGGCGGCATGAAAACTGAGTCGCAATGTAGGAGCAGGTGAGTGCGTGTTTCTTAAATTGACAGAGCATGATGGTGTTGTGAGAGTGACTCACGTGGGGAGGCCTGCGCAGGAGATATGAACGCTGCGATTGCGCTTCCAGAGAGGCCGCAAAGCCAACAGTCGCGAGCAGCAGCAGAGCAGACTGCAGCACGGGCAGCAACGTGCACAGCGCTGCTGCGTGCTCTCGTCTGCTCTGCCGCATCGGATGAATCAGCACACGCGGGAGGCGCATCATGGAATTCACAGCGACAGCCAGACGTCTCAAACAGCCAAGGAGGCGTCTCGGCGAGTAACAACCGCTAAGGGGCGCGCCTCTCGATTGCTGCGCGCGATTGTCAAGCAGATACTCTCGCGCCCCCACAGGAGCTTTGACTTCTTTGAAATTGTTGTTCCAGCTCCTGAGAAAACAACTTCCAGCTTTTGGAAATCCTTTATTAGCTGCCTTCCCTGCCGTTCAGGGATCACAGACTCTCGCGCTGACGGAGAGCCGCGCCGCTCTCGGGGAGCCGCGCTTGCTACCTCCCTTGACGAGAGGAGAGCGCGTAACAGCAACCGGCTGACAAGGCGCGCGGAGCGGGATGGAGCGAATTGGCAGCGGATGCGGGGACAAACTTCCAGCTGCTCGCTCGCTCTTTCCATCTCGTCACGGTCGCGACGGTAGGGATGGTCGGTGCAATCCGACGGCGGAGATCGCACGTGCGATTTCGAATCACGATGCGACGGGCTTCTGGTCCCGTCACACCGTGTGGGAGGCATTTGGGCTAGCTTCCAGGCGGAAGGGAAGCCTCCGAAACGAGGGAGGCAGGGCAGGGAGGCAGAGGGAGCGGGGAGGGGGGGAAATAGAAATGACGTGTGGAAAGGGTCGCATCGCAAGGTACGGGCCGGGTGCTGTCGGCGGCGCCTCGAATAGACCGTTGCTAGTGCTGGTGCTCGATGTGACAGGCAGCCATGGATCACAGCAGCTTCGCCAGTGACTGGACAGGTTACTTGCATGGTAGCAAAAAATGTGATCCTGCAAAAAATAAACATAATAAGTTAACTATACTGATAGAATTTTTAATATGTTTTCTTTATAAGAGTCTAAGCCCTACAATAATTGGACAAATTTTGTAGGTTCAGGTTAAGGTTAAGTTTATATTTATGTCGTAACCAGGTACAAAATAATACAATGCAGAAGGCCTATGGTGAGTTAAACATCACCAACACCTACATAGTGTGCGTTCACTAACGATATATCTCCGCTAGTGGCGGCCACCGGAGAAAACCGAGGTTTGCGTCATGTTAGCCAGGGCTTTGAAGGGAGGCGAAAAGCGCCGTCGAGCAACTAGGAGATACCGTACTCTCCCGGGTAAAACACCGTAGGGTATAGCTAAAAATACAGGGAAAAATGAGGGGGGGGGGGGGTCACCTCATAGGAAAAATTACATTGTACCGGAGTCCTTACATATGGTATGGCATATTTGATCTTAGGGTGTATTCCAGGGCCTCAGATTCACTTTTAGGGTCGTCGACCCATCAGGGTACCCCTATGTAGAAACCCTGATTGACAGTGTTCCTAAAAAAAAAAGCCTGAAATATAAGTGTTGCCTTTGAAAAAAGGCTGATGCATCAGTGTTCAATAATATAAAAGGTTGTTATTACTAGAAATCTAATTTTTAATTAATAGGTCAGTAGCGGCCTTCCGAAACATTGCTAAGCTAACATGCCTCATGAATCATCACCAGCCGTGCTATCATCACTGCCCTTAGCCTTTGGTTTTTCTCTCTCATCCTCAGCTTGGGACACCAGTACGTGACAGTGCTCTGCTGCAGAACACACCCCGTCTTCACTTCTGCTTGCGACACATACACGTTGAAGCTGCAGGGGCAGGGTTTGGGGGAGGAACCTGATTGACAGGCAGGGTGAGGCAGGGAAAGAGAGAACAGGAGGGAGAGAGGAGGGAAGACTGGCATGGTTGGGGGGGAAACGACCGGGGGAGACAAGGAGTGGACGGAGTGCGGGGTAAAGGGAGCGGGGGAATGGACGGTGGGCGCGCGAGTCATGCGCGGGTCATGCCGTCGCGCAGCACGACGCTATGCGCGCCGCCCGCGACGCACATGGCCTTTCAACCGCGGTTCGTGCTGGCGACGCGGCAGCCTTCGCTCGTCGCCATTAGCACGAAAAACCACGCGTCGTCGAGTCGTAGCGGGCCTGCGACGCCGACGGGCATCTCGCAGGCCCGCTACGATTCGACGACGCATGCGCTGCGGATCGCGTCGAACGGGAGCGATGTGTTCGGCGAGACTAGAGGAGGTTCGGCGGTGTCAGAACATATATGTGGCTTATGCTATTGTGTAGGCTACAGTGGGGTATCCCATAAGGGGTACAACCCAATTAGGGTTTTGCTATTTGTACTCACTTCACTCATAGTTCATTCATTCTCGTTCTATTCTCCACATGGTATCGAGCAGGTTCCCCCGTGGGAACTGTGCTTAGGGCCCACCACTTGTAAACCTTTTTTTTCTGCCCGGAGCGCGCTCCGGGCCCTTGCTCTCACTCTTTCGGCCTGCCCTGCGGCCCCCTAGATGCTCGCGCGCCGCCCGTTCAGGCACCTAGCCGCCCGCGCGCTGACCGTCCCGGCCCTTAGCCGCCCGCGCGCCGCTCGTCCCGGCCCCTAGCCGCCCGCGCGCCGCCCGTCCCGGCCCCTAGCCGCTCGCGCGCCGCCCGTTCAGGCCCCTAGCCGTCCGCGCGCCGCCCGTCCCGGCCCCTAGCCGCCTGCGCGCCGCCCGTCCCGGCCTCTAGTCGCCCACGCGCGCCCGTCCCGGCCCCTCACCGCCAGCGCGCTGCCCGACCCAGCCCCGCCGCCTCTGCCTCGCGGCCCCGCCGCTCCGTCGTGGCCCCGCCGCCCCGTCGCGGCCTCGCCGCCGCTCCCTCGCGGCCTCGCCCTACCCGTCGCGGCCCCGCCTCCCCCCCCCCCCCTTTTTCCCGTCGCCTGTCGAGGCGACCTGAGAGGCCAGCTGAGGGGTGGCAGGTGTGTGGTCTCCCCTGCTTCTCCTCCTCCTTCGCCGCTCACTTGCAGCAGCCGAGCCGCCCCGCCGCCGAGCCGCTCTACACCCGAGCCTCCCAGCAGCCGAGCCGCCTTGCAGCCGAGCCGCCCCGCCGCCGAGCCGCTCTACACCCGAGCCTCCCAGCAGCCGAGCCGCCCTGCAGCCGAGCCGCTCTACACCCGAGCCTCCCTGCAGCCGAGCCGCCGGGTCGCCGAGCTGCCGAGCTGCAGTTGCTGCCGAGCCGCCCTGCCGCCGAGCCGCAAAGCCGCCGTGCTGCCGAGCCACTGAGTCGCCGAGCCTGCTCTACCCACCACTGCTGAGCCCCTGCCCTCCTAGCACGCTGCGCGTCGCCTGCTTGCCTGCCTGCCTGCCTTTTGGCTTGCCTGGCTGCCTGCCTTACTGCTGCTACTCCTGCTCCTGCCTCTACTGGCGGAGCCAGATGCAGCCCCAGCGACGTCTGCGTGAGTCACTCACGCCCCAGCAGCTGCGTGAGTGGTACGCTGGTTGGGGCTGTAGGGGTGGTGGCGCTACTTCTGCTACCACTCCTGCTGCTTCTACTACTGGTGGCGGCCAGATGCAGCTCCCGCGACCCCCCCGCACGTCTCTTACGCCTCAGCAGCTTCGTAAGTGGTACGCTCAGAGTATAGGGCCTCTCAGTTCTGTTCGCTGCTCTTATGTGATTCGCACTGGTGCTCGGACTGGTCAGCCTTGTGGGACACCTAGTCACACACAGTCCCGCTGCTTCGCCCGTCTGAGCGACGCCTGGCGTACCGTGTTTGGCGACGAGGCTGAGCTCCCCGACTGGGTGGAGTTGCTTAGGCAGAGGGTAGATATATTTGCTCTTGACTATGATGCTATTCTCACTGCCATGTATGCATTGCCTACTAGTGCTGACCGTGCCGGTCACCTGTGCGTACCGCCTGACCCAGGTATAGGACCTGCTGCTCTAGCTACTGGTGAGGCTGCTGCTCTCGGTGCCAGTGAGTCTCCTGCTCCAGGTACAGGTGCGGCTGCTGCTCTAGGTGCTAGTGAGTCTGCTTCCTCAGGTGCGGGTGAGGCTGCGCTCTCAGGTACCGCGTTGGCTTCGGCCTCCCTCACCTTTACACTTGACTCTGGGGCTTCTCGCTCCTTCTTTCGGGACCGCACCACACTCACGCCGCTTGGTCGGCCGGTTGCAGTCTCCCTGGCTGACCCCTCTGGGGGTCCTGTCCTCTCTCACTTTTCCACTGTCCTCCCGTGTCCGGCTGCCCCTTCGGGCACCCTGTCTGGCCTGTACCTCCCCTCGTTCTCGACGAACTTGGTGAGTGGTGCAGACCTGCAGGATGCGGGGGTTCACCAGTTCACTCCTGCGAGTCAGCGGGTGACCCACTGCACAGACGCACGCACAGGCCGGCACCTGGCCACGTTCTCGCGTCGGCCGGGGTCGAGCCTCTACACCCTGACCACTGGGTCTCCTCCTGTCCCTGCGTCCGGTCAGGTAGTAGCGTCTGGTCAGGTGTTTGCTGCTGCGTCCAGGTCTGGTCCTGAGTCTGCCCCCTGTTCGTGTCACCTCCTGTCTCACGAGACTCTCCTGTGGCACCACCGTCTTGGCCACCCCTCCTTGCCTCGTCTTCGGGGCATGGCTTCGCGTGTCCTTGTCTTTGGTCTTCCCCAGTCTCTCCCTCCCCTTCCTTCGGGACCAGGACCTTCCTGTGTCCCCTGTGTCGAGGGGCGCCTCCGGGCTGCTCCTCACTCCTCCCAGTTTCCCCCGACAGAGGCTCCTCTGCAGACGCTTCACATGGACGTGTGGGGCCCGGCCCCCGTCCGTGGGCAGGGTCACGAGCGCTACTTCCTGTTGGTGGTTGACGACTACTCGCGTTACACCACAGTCTTCCCCTTGCGCAGCAAGGGTGCTGTCACTGAGGTGCTGATCGACTGGATCCGCGAGGCTCGTCTCCAGCTCAGGAGGAGCTTCGGCTCGGACTTTCCTGTTCTGCGTCTGCACTCTGACCGAGGTGGGGAGTTCTCCTCTCGCCTTCTGCGAGACTACTGTCGTGCATAGGGGATCCGCCAGACCTTTACGCTTCCGGACTCTCCACAGCAAAATGGGATTGCTGAGCGCCGCATTGGCATGGTCATGGATGTCGCTCGTACGTCCATGATGCATGCGGCTGCCCCCCATTTTCTGTGGCCGTTTGCGGTTCGGTACGCGGCGCATCAGCTCAACCTT